CTGTGCCAAGAGGTATTCACCAGCTTACTCACCTTTCTTTGTTCTGCATGCCTTTGTTCTTCAGGGGGCTCCTATGCTCCCTAGAGCAAGATGTTCCAAATAAGATCTCAAGGACTGATTGCTTCATGCAGAGAGGTGACTCAGTACTGGTAGAAGTTTGTTGCCTATAAACTAAAATATGTGTGGAAGATGCTGAACTCTGATGCTGAACCCTAGAAGATGAGCCCTCAAATTCTTTTATAGTTTTAAATTTACCTCTGTATCTTGCTCCTGAGAACCTCACCTCTTCTCTTCATCTCTTCTGACTTGTTGCTTTTAAATTTCCTTACCCATTTTTCTCCTCTTTTAATTTTTCTCTTCTGTATCCCCCAAATCTGAGCAGATGGGCAAAGGTATGTGGTCAAGATTGAAAGAGAGAAAGGTTCAATGATGCTTAGGGTAAGAACCATACTGTGGGAAATAGTTTAATTTTCCTTCTAGAAACCCCAGTTCAAGGGAGAGACAAATCCAAAATTTATAGCAACTAGACAAGAGCTTCACCCGAGAACCACCAGCCTTGTGTAAACACCAGCCCTCCTGAAAATAGTAGTATGAAATCTTAAGCTTATCTGAGGTGAGATGAGTTGATATCGTCAATGTCCTGTGTAAAATAGCACTATGATTTACACCTTCAGATACTATTCTAGATCCCAACTCTCTCCATTTAGTGTAATTGTTTTACAGAAATCATGGCACACTTATCTAGTGTTGCATAAGAGGCCACTCCAAAACTTAGCGATTTAAGACACAACCACCATTTATTTGCTCGTAATCAGGTAATTTGGGCAGGACTCAGCAGTGATGGCTTCACTTCACATGATCAATGAGCCAAGTCAACCGGCAACTTGACAGGAGCTTCAAGGATCCAGGATGGCCTTCTCACATATCTGGGATCTCAGCTAAGGTTGACTAGAAAGGCCAAGTTGGCTGGACTTCTCTCTCCCTCATGCTCTTTTCTCCATCAGGATCTCCTCCTTCTTGAAGATTTCCCCGCAGAATAGCCTTCCCTTCTTTGCATTCAGGCTGGGTTCCAAGACAGAAACAGGGTAAGTTTGCAAGACCTCTTAAAGTCTAAGATCATAATTTGCTCAGTGTCACATTTACCACATTCTATTGGTCAAATATTATCACAAGGTCTATCCAGATTCAATGATGGATGGAACTATGAGAAGGATGGAATTCAAGGAGGCCGAATTCACTGGGGGCTATGATGTGGAATTTTATGTGTCAACTAAGCTAGGCCATGGTACCAGTTATTGGTCAAACATTATTCTGGATGTTTCTGTGAAGGTTTTTTTTTAAGATAAGATT